AGGCTAGGGCTGGGGCCGAGGCGAGGGGCCTCCCTGCTCCGGGGGCCACATGGGCCCCTTCAGGGGCCGCCAAAAAGGCCAAGGCTTTTAACAAGCAAAGGGCAGAACGTTGCCGCCTGGGGATTTCGGGACGGGCGAGACGGGGTTTGGTTAGAGGCTTAGTGGGGGCAGCTGGCCTGACGTTGGCCCGGTGGCAGCTTCTCCCTCGTGCTTTGGCTCCACATCTCGCCCCGAAGCCCCCTTTCCCCCACGGGCAGAGTGGGGAGTGGAGGGGCTGGGACACGCCGTTGCGGCTGGCCATGGCCGGACGGTGCAGGGGGGGGTGCTCCGTTTGTGTGCACAATGGCCCCCGAGGGAGAGCCCTCTTGTCGGCCGGGGTGGCTCGGTCCTGCCTGGCCCTCGGCTGGCCGAATCTTGTCCTGCGTCGGCCACCCGCCCGCCAGACCACCTGGCCTGTGGAGGGCCACCCGTGAGCGGCCTGAGAAAAGCCCTCCCGCCCCTGCAGCCCCTCCCTCCTCTTCCCGGAACCACCAAGGCGGTGGGTCCTCCCGGCCACGGCCACGACCGGGCAGGCTAAGTGGGCCCTAAGAGGCCGCACGAGGCATTGTGAGGGTCCCCAGCTCCTCTCCCTGCCACCCCCCCTCCAATCCAATCCAGCCTGCCTCTCAAGCCCACTTCCTTCCTTCCCTCCCTCCCTCCTTCCCTTTCAGCTGCCAAACATGTTCGGGGACCTCCGCTCCACCTTCATCGCCCTCATGATTGGCTCTTACGCTTCCTCGGCTGTGACCTTCCCTGGGATCAAGGTAGGTGGCCGGGGAAACCTTTCCCATCATCCTCACACTGGAATTAGGGGTGAAGAGGAACATCCGGGCTGGGTGGGTGGCTGTCGTGTCGCTGGGGGAAGAGCAGAAGCCCCCCCACCCCACCCGAGGCCCCTCCAGGGCATCTGAGGTGGCCGGCTCTGGGCCCAGGGGAGGGGGGGGGAAGAGAAAGGCCTGATTTCCACCCCCACCCCGTCCTTCCTCCTTCCGGCTCTCCAGGTCATCTACGACTTCGGGGTCTCCTTCATCCTCATTCTGGTCGTCTGGGCCTGCTGTGCAGGGCTGGTCTTCTTCAACTGCTTCTTCAATTGGCCCCTGGAGCCTTTCCCCGGCCCCGAAGACATGGACTACACGTGAGTCCCAGCGCGTGGGGAGGAGGGAGGAAAGACAGACATGGGGGGGGGAGTCTTCCGTCCAGCGGTCCACGAAGGGGGCCAACCCGCAGGGGGATTTGCCTGGCGATACGGGCGGCGCGCCAGGCGGGGTCGGTCGGTCACCGCTGGGCTTCTTCCCTGCCCCCCCCCACTTGCTTCCTTCCTTCCTCCGGCCGGGCAGGGTGAAGATCAAGTTCAGCTGGCTGGGTTTTGACCACAAGATCACCGGGAAGCAGTTCTACAAGCAGGTGACGACGGTCGGGCGCCGGCTCAGCGTCGGCAGCTCCATGAAGGGCCCGAAGGAGGCGGCCCCGCTCCAGGACGGCCACAAGCTCTGCCTCTCCACCGTCGACCTGGAGGTCAAGTGCGAGCCTGACCACGCGGGTGAGCCGATCGGGCATCTGCAGGACCCCCCCCCGGCCATGCCACGAGCAGCGTGGCTTCCTCGCAGGCCGAGAAATGTCTCCCAGCTCTGCTCTGTGGCCCAGGGCCGCTGGGGCAGAAGTCCTCCGCGGGCTGCTTGGATCCCGTGGAGCAGCCACTTTCCCCCTGCCTGGTCCGGGCCCCCAAAGGACAGCCTCCCCGAGCGGGACGAGGCCTGGCTCCGGAGGCCGGCCAGGAGGGGCTCCGTCGGCCAGTCCTTGGCCGCCTGCCTGACGGCTCTCTTGCTTGCTTGCCTTCCTCCCCTTTCCTCCTCTGGCCGGCAGCCTCTCCGTCCTTCATGCACAGCGTCTTCAGCCCGATCCTGCTGCTCAGCCTCATCACCATGTGCGTCACCCAGTTGCGGCTGATCTTCTACATGGGGGCCATGAACAACATCCTGGAGTTCCTGGTGGACGGGGATCTGGAGACGGGTACGTGGGGGGGGCGTGAGGGGGGGGGCTCTTCTCAGTCTCCCT